TAGTTTTCGGTGAACACAACATCTTTGTTTGTATGTGGTGCTGAGGATCCAACCCGGGCCGCACGCATGCCAGGCGAGCGCGCTACTGCTTGAGCCACATCCCCAGCCCTGTATAGGCTATCTTTTCTCCAGTGAATGTTTTTGGCATCCTTGTCTAGTATGAGATAACCGTATTTATGTGGGTTTATCTCTGTGTCCTCTATTCTGTATCATTGGTCTACAAGTCTGTTTTGGTGCCAATACCATGCTGTTTTTGTTGGTATAGCTCTGTAGTATAGTTTAAGGTCTGGTATTGTGATGTCTCCTGCTTCACTTTTCTTGCTAAGGATTGCTTTAGCTATTCTGGGTCTCCTGTTTTTTCCAAATAAATTTCATGATTGCTTTTTCTATTTCTATCAAGAATGTCATTGGGATTTTAATAGGAATTACATTAAATCTATATAATGCTTTTGGTAGTATGGCCATTAAAATTTGACTTTTATTACAAAACTAATTTTAAACCACCATGCTGCCCAGTACAGTATTGCATGTCTGTAATCCCAGCAACTCAGGAGCTGAGGCAGGAGGATTGCAAGTTCAAGACCAGCCTCAACAATTTAGTGAGGTCCTCAGCAACTTACAAGACCCTATCTCAAAAAATAAAAAGTGCTAGGTACGTAGCTGAGTACTAAAGCACCCCTGGGTTCAATTCCCATTATAAAAAACAAAAGCAGAAACATACTATGTGGTATTGGTGTGATTCTGTGCCACCACAGTAGAAGAAAGAAAGAGTTGGAGACTTGCCTGCTTGGCCTTTCACATCCTTATGGTAGTTTATAAGGTGCCTCTTCAGGACCCTAGAATTCTGTGGAAACAGTCTGAAAAACACCCTTCCATTTTCCAGAGCAAGAACAGATCTAGAGAAGAGACATGAGAGGTTCTAGGTACTTAACTAGTTCAGGCCAGAGCCAGAACTATAACACATTATCCTGTAATCTTACTTGTGTTTGAGGAATACAGGCTCCTAGTACTGGGTTGTGGCTGTCATAAACAGACTGCAGTCTTCTAGGGGGTTAGGCAGGAGAGGTAACATGACAAAATGCCAGCTCTGCTGACCAGGTTGGCTGTCGAAGGAGGCCTAATCTTAGGCTTGAGTCTTGTCTCTGTCGCCTGCAGGGTGGTGTACCATGAGTTGGTGCTGACCACGAAAGAGTATATGCGTGAGGTCACCACTATTGATCCCCGGTGGCTTGTGGAGTTTGCCCCAGCCTTCTTCAAGGTCTCTGACCCAACCAAACTAAGCAAGCAGAAGAAGCAGCAGCGTCTTGAACCATTGTACAACCGTTATGAGGAGCCCAATGCTTGGAGAATATCCCGGGCCTTCCGGCGGCGCTGACAGGCAAGCTTGTCTATTTGCCTCTTCTATAGCAGTGGCCCAGGACTTGGACTTCCTCTTACCGATGAAAAACTGGTCCTGAATGTACAGCTGTCCTGTGACTGCATTTGCTAAACTTGACTTTCATTTCTTTCTTGGTGGTAAGATAGAAACCAGGATTTAAGTCTGCCGTTGGCTGGATCCTCTAGCCCCCATCACTCCCAAGTCTTGGGGCCAGAGAGTCAGGGGCTTATACTCAGCATAGCACACAATGCATCATCTTCGAGAAAGGGACAACTTGTTCAGCCTTGAAATGGGAAAAGGGAGTGAATGAATGTCTGATACATGCCACAGCTACAGAGGACCCTGATGCCCCAGCTGATGCTCCCTAGAAGAGAGAGCCATAATGCTCATCTACAGTGTCGACCTCACTGCCTGCCTCCTCCCCAGCTCCTGTACTCTGGCTTAACCTTCTGGAAATATTTATTTTCTTAAGGAAATAAGGTTTTCTGTGATTGTTTCTTTTAGCTGAAAGGTTAAGAAACTGGCCTGGGTTCTGGGTGAGGGAGATTTAGCATCTGTGATGTATGTGGTGGAGAATACCCTGGAATTAAAGCCCAGGGTCTCTTTCGAACCTAATGCACAACCCAGACCTCCAGCCTTGTTTTTCAGAATGGGTCCTGGCCCAGCTTTGCCAGTGGATGGCCTGGTGATTAACCACATCCATTCCACAAAGCACTTGAATCTGGCGCCTGAGTGGTTACAGATGCCACATATTGAACATAGAAGGCTCTCCTTTCCTCCCTCCCTCCCTCCCCCCCTCCCCTGCCATGTTCAAACAATGCACAGTGTGTCCCATTTCCTTTTGAAACATGCCAAGTACTGACACAACTTGTATTTTATTTTGTTTTTATTTTTTGCCCTGAGGTCCTTGATGGTCTTTAACAAAGGGATTTTATGATTATAGCCTCTCCTCCCCCATCCCAAGCAGAAAACAGATACCACCTCTCCGAGCCCAGCATCTGTGCTCAGGGCTTGTTCTTAGTGGTTTTGGGAAATGGCCACTTCCTAGAGCCCCTCACAGCAACTCAGGATGCTTTTTACCTGGAGGAGGAGCAGGCAGGTCCTGCTGGGGTAGGATGTGGGGCTTGTGGAGAAGCTTGGGTACATCCTGTATCATGGCATTGCTCCCACTGTCTCCCACAGCCCTGTTTTAGTAAATTCCAAAATAGGTCAATACGAGAACTGCAGAATTGTATGTCAAACACTGAACGAGACTATATGACGTTCTGGAATATAAAGGAATGTGTGTTGTCACTGGGCAGCAAAGAAACCACTCTAAAGGCACAGTTCACAGAGATTTCAAGGGAGAAGAATATAGGCCAGGGAGGGTGCTGACTGCAGATCCCTGCCCCTTCATTAAGCTGAGTGAGCACCTCCCAGTTCTGTTGGAGTGTGCTTCTTAGTGAGGCCAGGCCAGTAATCAAGGAACAGGGCATGATGTGTTACCCTGTAAGGCCTCATGGGAGAGACAGTGCAGGAAACGAGATGTAACCTAAAGGGAAGCAGGGCCCATTGTTAGTTCCTCAGTCTTAATTCTAGCCTAGATCTCCCATTCTGGAGCAACTCCTGAGCCTTGTGGCTCTGCCCATCCCAGGTGCCTACTGGCACTGACATTATTGGTGCCTAAGGAGAGGTCTGGGTTTTAAGCTGAGATTGAAAAGGGATGGTTAACAGGCCAAGGGTAAGTAATGGCAGGGCTGGTCATCCTACCTTCTGTAAGAAGGAGCCCAACTGTGTGGGTATACTTTGATCAATTCTAAACTAGAATTCTCTCCTTTTACAGTAAGGCAGGGGTCTGACCTTTTGACTGTCCATCAGAATGACCATGTTGACAGCAGAGCTGAGGCTGCTCAAAGGGTGAAGGGGACTCTGGTCTAGATTCAGAAGTAGAGCTGGCCTACTGCTCTCACATTGGGATCCTTGTTTCTCTTTCTTGAACCATTATTTCCCAAGATTGAGTGACAGCCCAGGAGAGGATGTGGGTCTCAGGCAGAGAGTTGGAATCTTCTTGGCCATTAAAGTATACAGTTCACCCCAACTTAGCAGGAGCCTAGCTCAGAGTTTCTTGGCCCTGCACATGTGCTGAGTCTCAGCTTGTGTTTGTGTATGTGGGGCTGTCCTGATGGGATGCAGGTAAGCTCTGCTGCTGCTCCGGGTTTGCTTCATCCAGTCTGGAGCACATTTTGGCTGTCCCTCCTGCAACCCAAAGAATTTCCTCCCAGTGGATGCTGTCACTATCTCATTGGAGCAGTTCCCCTCCACATTTAAGAATTTAAACAAAGCTCTGAAGAGCAGCTTGTTAATGAACAGTCCAGAAGACAAAATGTCTCAGCCAGTGGAGACCTGTCTCTAAAAACTGCTTCTCATCTAAATCCTCTGAAGTGCATCAGCCCTCCGGGTTTCTACCTGATTTTTAATACCTTCTTTCTACCATGATAGCTTGGCTTTAATGTGGAATTAAATGTATATTTTTAAACTGGTTTAAAATTAATTTTCTTGTTCAATACATTGATGTTTTGTGTTTCTAGGAAAAAATGCTAATTTTTATTTGTGGGTAGTGGTTGAGAGGCATCCCTTCCTGCTAGCACTCCATTGTTGAGTTGTGCGGGCTGGAAGCTGCCAGCACAAGCAGCACAGGCATTAGTAGTGCTGGGCTGGCCCCACCTCAGCATAGCTGCAGTTCTCATTGAACAGGAGGCTCCTGGTTTTACCTCAGCCCCTTTCCTGGGAAGCTCTTGATAGAGGGGCTGGCTCTAGAAACATCCATTCCACCCTGCTCCATCTCAGCTACTCCTCCTGTCATAACTCCTTAGTCACATGCTTCTGTGTTACTTTTCTACCCACCCTCAGGACTCTTGTCTCTCCCAAATTTGGACAAGGAGAATCTGCTGTTTCCCACTGCCCAGTCCCTGGAAGATAGGTCTCCTTCACTGGCCTGCTCTAGCCTCCCCCAGGACTCACTTGCCTAGGTGCCTTTCTCCTTTGGTTCATTTTCCAGACAACACTTATCTCCAATTCTAGCAAAAATAGCAATTTGGAGTTGAGGCAGGACATACAATTTGGGGTATGTCCAGTCATGGGAGCAACTGTGATCACAGAAACTGCAGATCTGTCTTTGCCTAAGTCCCCAGAGGGAAGGCCTTGCAGCTCAGGATCCCACCTGCCCCTTCCCCAGTGGCATAAATACTGTTGCAGGAACCATGCTTCAGTGGCCAAGGGGGCCCCACCTAGATTACAAAGTATGTCTTATCAGTTGTTTCTGGGTCCTTGAATAATAATTCTGGGAGAGGAAAAAGCAGGTATTTTGAAGCCCATTTTTCAGAGGAAAGCTAAAGTCAGAAGTGAACTACTTTTTTTCCAAATCAGCATAGGAAATTAAGTGTCAGGGACAGGCCCCAAACTTCAGTTATCTGCCCCAAGTCCAGATCTTTCTCTTCCAGGTCCATGCCCAAGGCAGCAAAGAGCAAGCAGAACTAATAGTAGGGGCCTTTATTAAGGTCTGGCAGATGAAGTGGAGGTGGAATCCCAAGCCTGGGTGGGCCTAGGAAAAGGCAGAGGAGAGGCAAAGAGCCCCTTGGAACCCATCCCTCCCTGCCTCTGTCCAGTATCCCCATCCCAGGTTCCTGCCTACGGGAGGAGAGCACCAAGAACGGGCATCCCAAGTTCTCCAGGGCCACAGCTTAGGACAGTGTAGAGTCTAGGCTTCTGCCTCCCCACAATGTAAGAACTGGGGAGCTCAAGTGAACTTCCTGGCTAGCCTGCAAGGATAAATTTGGGAAGTTCCTTCTCTGTCCCCTGAAACAGAACAATCACTTGTTCTCTGGTAGGGAAGGGAAACAGGGTTTAGGCCTCCAAGTAGGACTTAGGAAGAGGCTGACCTGAACTCCTGAGGATGGACGTGACCCCCTCCCAGCGGGGAGCTTCTGAGATTCCACCTTTAGATTTGCCCTTTTTCCACTTTTGCTTCCCAAAGACTCTGGTGAGCAACTCTATGGGCCACAGGGCAACTGATGGGATAGCAGGGGTCTGCCCCAGAGACATCTGTGGGTTTTAGAATGAGGCCTTCACCAAATTCATTGATATGTACACAGGGCAGCACCCACCCCTGATGGAAGAAGTTGTTGTTGGCTAGTAAGAGTAGCCACCCTTGGGGCCAAAGGGCTGGGCAGGGCCAGCCAGCTCTGGGAGGTAGGCAGGGCTCTCATCCAAGTGGGACAAAGGGACTGTGTCCTCTTCACTGATTGGCCGGTCAAATTCAGCTTTCAGAGCTGGACGCTGATTGTCCGGGAAGGCCAGAGAGAATAGGGCCTCAGGCTCACACACAAATTTGTATACATATCGCTCACCAGCCACCTAAGGGGAGAGAGGAGCTAGGTCAGTCAGTCGAGGTATACCCCACCTCAAGATAGGACTGGGGGACAGAGCCCTTCTTCATGTCCAGGTAGAAGTGTGGGAACCTTTCCCTCCCATGCAGATTCCCTTCAGAAGTTCACTTTCTCCTCTTACAGACTTGCTGAAAAATGCTCTCCTTGCCCCTTTGCTGTCACCTCCCCACAGTCACTGCCCCTACCCCTTGTCTTTGGACTCTCTGCCCTCTTCCCCACCTTCTGCATGATGCCTTTCTCATAATAGTATCGCAGTGAGCGGCTCAGCTTGTCGTAATTCATGGCTGGCCGGTTCTTCTGGATGCCCCAGAGCCTGGCGACCTGAGGACAAAAGAGACAAGTTTTAGGGTGGAGATGCTATCTCAGAGAAAAAGTGGGGGTGTGGGGTGTCAGAGCAATTGAGATAATTTTCTTTTTGTTTGTGTACTAGGAGTTGAATCAGAGTCAATCTACCTCCCAGATATACTCCTGACTTTTTTTTTTTAATATAATTTTGGTTGTTGATAGACCTTTATTTTATTTATTTATATATGTGGTGCTGAGAATCAAACCCAGTGCCTCACACATGCCAGGCAAGTGTGCTACCACTGAGCCACAGCCCCAACCCTACTCCTGACTTCTTTTTTTTTTATTTGAGAGAGAGAATTTTAATATTTATTTTTTAGTTTTCGGCGGACACAACATCTTTGTTTGTATGTGGTGCTGAGGATCGAACCCAGGCTGCACGCGTGCCATGTGAGCACGCTACCGCTTGAGCCACATCCCCAGCCCTCCTGACTTCTTTTATTTTTTGAAACAGGGTCTTGCTAATTTTCCCAGGCTGGCCCCAGACTTGTGATTTCTTCTGCCTCAACCTCCTGAGTTGATGGGATTACAGGTGTGTGCTATTGTGCCAGGCAAAACTTGATATTCTTGGTGCCAAATGTTAAGCCAGCCATACAACTAGTACCAGCTCACAAACTCAGGCTTGGCAAGAACTCAGGTCATGTAGAACGAGGGTAATAGTGAAGGCACATGCCACTATTCTCTTATCTCCAGGCTCCAAAGACATTGGCAAGGAGGGGTGGAGACACTCTGATATACCCACCTCCTCAGGTTCAATTAGTTTGAACTCCATCCCCCGGCCTGTCCAGGCAATGAAATGGGCATTCGTTGGGTCATCCAGTAGGGCCACCAGAAACTGCCATAGCTGCAAGGCACCCCGGCGCTGGTAGGGTGGCCCCTCTCGGAATGCCCCAACTCCTTCCTGCTTGATGTCTCCTGGAGAATGCAGAAATAGGGGGGCTTTGTGTCTTCTGGTGCCCCAGCCAACTTCCTCCCTTCTCCCAGGGTGTTTCCTCAAGGGGCCTCTCCAGACCCTTTCCCATTTGTCCCCCAACTTGCATCCATGAAATGTAATGTGATTTCTTCAGGGACACAGCCAGTAGGGGATGTAGATAAGACCCTGACCCTCCCAAGAAATCACTCTGACCTTCATATTTCTCAGGGACAACGCAGACATCATCTGGGAATGGTCGCAGAGGTTTCTCATAGCCATAGCCTTGTGGAGGAAGTTTGGAGTTGCTGAGATCTAACAGTTTACTGATAATCCACAGGGACTCCTGGCTAAGGAGACCTTCCCCCCAACAAAGCCCCCTCCCCCAACTTGAGAGCTTGACAGGGGAAGGAGGGGCTGCCTTACCCATGGCCCCATCACCTGGGGAGGCCGCGGAGAAGCCCTCAGTGTGGAGGTACATTGATGCACACCCAGGGACATCTGTGAGGGGTGGAGAAAGGGTGATGTTACAGGTGTCTGGGATGCTGCTGGAGGGAGAGGGGAGGAGGAAGTCCTACACACTTTCAAGTTCTTCCTGCCAGCCTGCTTTCCGGTGACTGTTCCTTTCCCAGTTGCCTGCCCACCACCAAATCCCAGGGGAAGTTCACCCAGAGGGAGCACGAGGCTTGAGCCCCTCAGCTTGAGGGCTGGGGCAGAGGGCATAGATGGCAGCAGCTGGGGCTAGGCAAGCTGTTCCACAAGGCCCAAGATTCCAGGGAGCAGCTGTTTCCTGTGAGTTCAGGGGGAGGAGGGGAGTGAGAGATGAACCTCCGGGGGAGAAAGGGTTCGGTGTCCACGCCTAAGATTCCCTCGGAACCGGCAAACGTCCGGTCAACAGGTCAGGTTCTCAGCCCTGTGCCTGTGCGTGTGCGTGTGCGTGAGAGCCAGAGCGTGCGTGCATCTGGGGAAGCAGCGGTGGGCACTGGGTTGCTATTTCAGGTCTAACAGCTCTTTGCACTCAATTCCATTCCTTAGCATTGAAACCTCCCCACTCCACCTCGGGAACCCGCTGTGTAAAGCCACCCTTTCCAGTTCCAACCCCTTCCCGCCCTCCCCCTCCACTCCCACCTATGAATGAGAGGCTGAAACCCGACACCTCCGGGAGGAGGCGGGAGGGCGGCTTCATTCAAGCCTCCATTTTGTGAATGGAATTCCTGACTCCATTCAGGGAAGCTGACGGGGGAGGGGCGTGAGTTCAAGGGCATGTAACAAGATCCCTCCGGTCTACAGCCTTTGAAGGTCAGCCGCAAGAGCATCTCCCTCCTCCTCCTCCCACTACCTCACAGCCAGGCCTGGCTGTGCCCTGGGTTTGAGGACGAGAGCACCCATCCGGTTCTCAGTCGGGCAGCTGCGGGGTTTGTGGTTCACCTCCCTGCCCCTGAAAGACTGGGTACCAGGAAAAGGGAAGTTCTAAAGCTCTTAGCCAGCTCTGCGCCTACTCTAATCTCTGGACTTCTTTTTCTAATGCAAAATTGCTGATAGACTTCAATTTAGTACAGAAATCGGGAGGAAAGAAGAGACGCCAGTTTTCTGTGCCCTTCTTGAGAATGGTCTTCCCTCTGTGGTTGAGGCTTTGAACTATAGCTATTTATGAACATAGCTGAGTACATCTCACTCCTGTCAACAGCCAGGTGGAACTAGAATTTAAAGCAGTCCCTATTTCAGGTACCCAGCTTTTGGGGGGGTGGGGTGGGATGTGGAAACCATATATTAGCCCTTCATTCCTATGGTAAACTAAGAGCCTAACTAGTTTCTAGTTCATGTTTCTCTCACTTTGTATTTTTAAACTTCTGCTGGAGATAGGGACCAGTGGTGACACATTCTATTCAACTTTTGTATCCTCAACTCTGCACTCATGTTCCAGATACAGTACTTTACTTTTTAAGTAGATTACTAAAACCCAAATAGAAATAAATACCTTAACTCTCCTATTGTTATAAGCTACCTGAGGACAAAGATCTGTATACCCCTTATCTTTTTATTTGAATGTTTGCTGACTGGAAAATGACAATTCTTGGGCTGGGGATATAGCTCAGTTGGTAGAGTATTTGCCTCTCATGCACAAGGCCCTGGGTTCAATCCCCAGCACCACAAAAAAGAAAAAAAAAAGAGAATTCTTTGGAATCCATGGGGGGGGGGAAGAAAGTGAATCAGTGGGTTGAACTTATGAGCTAGTTAATAGAAAAACCTTGTGGAGACACCCGAGCTTAACTGAACTACTCATTGAGCACATGCCACCCCACCTGGCAATCCCAGAAAAACTCCTCTGAGCCCCCAGGAGAGTCTCTTACCTGAGTCGTAGGTGAAGTCTGTCCGCTCCTGTTTGATCACCACCCCCGCCCCTGGGTACCTGTGCCCACTGACCCCACCCTGGCCTATGGCCTGGCCCGCCTGTTCATATAGAGGGTCATGGTATTCCTGCTTGAAGCTCTGTTGGGGGTAGGGTGGGCAGGGCTCCGATAGCTGGTGTTGGTAGGGGGCTGGGAGGGGTTCCCGGCCCCCTCCCTGAGAAGATGTGAAGGAGTGGCACACATCCAGGGGCTGCTGGAAGATGGAGCTGGATGTAGTTGGATGGAGAAGAAAGAGAAGAGAATCTTATGTTAATCCCTCCTCCAGCTTGTCACTCCCAGGCTTGACCAGTGAGCTCTAGAGTAGGGCCTGCTTCAGTATCCCTTCCTCCCTCTCTCCCCCCATGCCAAGTCTCTATGGAGAGCTCAGGGATTGAGAACAGACTGGTGAGGCCTGGGCCCCCAGGTGTAGTGGATCTGTCTCTTTACCTATGCTCCCCGAGGTACCCATGGCCAGGGTGGGGCTGGGAGGTGCCAGAGGATCTCAGGAAACTCCGTTGTTCTGCCCTGGGAAAGGGCTGCAGGGGCGATTGTCCAGGGGCACCAGGAGTGGGGGACTTGATGGTGACTTGTCTGGGGGGGTCATAGGCACTGGAGCTAAGGGGAAACCGGGATGAGAAGGAAGAGAAGCTGGGTGAGCATCTTTGAATCCTTCGCAGGGAAGTGAAATAACAGGGATTACAAGGAAAGGTAGGGCAGAAGGGACTGGGACTCAGCCCTAAGTGAATTCTTTCTCTTCTCAATTCTGAAACAGGCCTAATCTTAAGAACACCTCTCCCCTGTCCAGAGCAAATGTGTTTTTGTCACAGTAGGCCTCTGAGTGAAAGTAGTCTGCCTAGCCTTAACACATGTCCCTGAAGCCATCCTTTGCATTGTCCCTCCTGCCTACTTAGAGGAAGTCCTTATCTGGGCTGCTCCTTACAGGAGCTAAGAAATCCCCTCTGTTGTCACTTGCATCCACTGCTGCCTCTGTTCATGGCGGGTAGTTTCCCTGAAGCCCTCTACCCCAAGTTGGAGCTCCTCCCTCCTTCTGACACCTTGACTACCCTTCATCGTGCCCATGATGGGACTCACCTGGAATAAAGGCACTGCTCGCCATGGTGGTAGGGAAGTGGCGGCTTTCTGCTGCAGGACAGGGCCGGATCTGTGCAGGGACTCTGGGGCTCCTTCTTGATCCTGGTGGTGGGGCTATGGAAAGCTACTGCACAGGTAGGGATGAGGGCAGAACAAGGGCAGAGTATGTCACACAAGAGGCAGACAGGGCTTCTAACACCTATTCTCTGAGGACTAGCTGGGTCACTGGTACAGCTTCCTCTCCTCTCTGGGTCTCAATTTTCTAAGATCTGTAGACACTTGAACATTTTGGCTGTTTTCATTATATCTAGTTTTAGACATCAGCCTAATGACCAGTATTAACCAAAGAAACTATCTAAAATGTCAACATAATAAATGCAAGCTCTCATCCCAGAAAACCCTTTGTAGGAAGGAGCACCTTGGACCTAGGGCCTTTGGTTTTCCTGAGTGCCCTGGAAAGTTCCAAGGGAGGGACATGTTTTCTTATTTGGTGCTATAAAGAATCTTTCTAGTTAAGGTTGGATATTAGCCCGCTTGAATGTCAGCTGAAAAGCATACACATGCTCCTAATTATCTGTGAAGAGCATTGTCCTTTCCTATGGCCCTTACTGGGTTCCCTAAGTCCAGCTACCAGGCCTGGCTGCCAGTGTACATGACATCCTGGCTTACTGCACTCCAGTCAAAGGCCCTGTCATCAATGGTTCTGTTACTTGTTTTTCATTCTTTGCGCCCTGTATCATTTCATTGGTGAAGATAGTTGGAAGCAAAGTATCTGACATTAAAGGAGCATTTTTCTGTTTTTCTTTCTTTTTTTTTTTGTTTGTTGTTATTTTTCTTTGTACTGGTGATTGAACTACCCAGCGGTGCTTAACCACTGAGCCACATCCCCACCCTTTTCATTTTTTATTTTGAGACAGGATCTCACTAACTTTCTTAGAGCCTTGCTAATTTGCTGAGGCTGGCCTTGAACTTGTGATCCTCCTGCCTCCTGAGTTACTGGGATTACAGGCATGTGCCACTGCACCAGGCAAAGCAGCATTTTTCAATGGTGGCATTATTGATATTGAGGCTGGACATTTTATTTATTTATTTGTTTGTTTGTTTGTTTATTTATTTATTTATGTGGGTGGCTGACTTGAGCATCATAGAATTTTTTTTTCTAGAAGCACTGTTGGCCTCTACCCATTCACTAGATGCCAGTAACATCCAAACAAAAAAAATGTCTATATTGCAAAATGTCTCCTGAGGGGCAAAATCACCTGAATTGTATAAAACCTTAGAAAACAACAGAACTGGGTTCTACTGAATAGGCCTGAGCCCCTCACTTTAGACACAAAGAAATGCAGGATCAGACAGAGAAAGTATCCTGCTCCAAGGTCACATGGCTAGGGGGAGACAAACCCCACTTTTGGACCTAGGGCTTTATCTCCCAGTTATTTCCTTGGTCTTTGAGTCCATACCCAAGAATGGGGAGCCCTGACCTTCACCCTTTCTTTAGGAGAAAGTAAACTGGTCTCAGGTGATATTCCTATGACTCATTTCCTAACCCCCCAACCCCTGCAGCCCCCCTTTCCCAACTCCCTCCACCCAAAGCCCTCTACTCACAGTTTTCTGAATGGAAATCAGGAACAAACTGCTCATCACTGTCTGGTACCTGAGCTGCAGAGAGAGGTCAGAAGTCAGAGGTGAGTCCAACATTGGAACCCTAAGTGGCAGCCCCTGGCAGAACCATTATTGCAACCCTGCAGATCAGTACCAGCCCTGGAGGGAACAACAGCCTTCCTTAGACTGCAGGCAACTCCACCTCCACCCCTAGGCTCCACTAAGACCCTGGAGGAAAGACTGATGTTCCAAGAACCTGTCTGAGCAGATTCCAATCTTTTCCTTGATGCTTTGTCTTTATTCCCTTCACTTTTCTTAAGTGCAGACAGGCCGGCCCTTCAGAGATTACCCCTCAGAGCTCCCTCTGAGCCCACAGCAGAGTCCCACCTGGGATGGGCAGGGGTTACAAGGAGTGGGATCCTATGGATCTGGAATCAAATGGGGAGATTCAGAATATGGGAAGGGTCCAGGAATCTGCATTTTTAATTTTTTTTAATACTTGTAGATGGACACAATGCCTTTATTTTATATGTTTTTTTTTTTTTAATGTGGTGTTGAGGATTGAACCCAGTACCTCACGAATGCTAGGCAAGTGCTTTGCCACTGAGCTATAGTCTCAGCCCTCAGGAATCTGCATTTTAAACAATGTTCCAAATGATTTTGAGACGCCCAAGAGTTTTAAATCCCAGGAAAGGAGATCTAAGAGGAAAGAGGAAGGTTCAAGAAAGGCGAAAAGAGGACAGAGGATGGAAGAGGAGGAGACTGGAGAGAGCAGGGTTCCCAAGCCTGGAGGTCTAAGAAGCACTCCTACAGTGCCAGGTGGGTGGAGCTGGGTTTGAAAATAGTCAGGAAAACAAAAATAGAACAGCAGCTCATCCTGGCACATCCGGACTCTAAATTGTAGTTCTTATCCTGGCCTTTCCAGGAGTGGGCTTCTCAGATGGATGTACAATGGAGTACCTCCCTGAACCCCAGTGTTTTGGCCCACTTTTGCTCTCTCTTAAGGGAAAAAAAAAAAAAAAAAAGGATTACAGCAGGAAGGGGAAGAAGGGTAGACACCAAGAAGAACTTTCTGATAGTCCAGGAAGTGACTGGATCTAAGGTGAAGCAACGGAACCTGTAGCCCAAAAAGACTGGACTCTCATGCCCTGGAGATTGCTCTCAAATTGGACAATGTGGAAACTGATGGATAAAACAACTCAGAGTTCAGAATGGCTGGTGAGGAGCACAAGGAGATGGCTAGAGATGGCTACCTCCACATCCCCAACCTGTACACAAACACCCCCATCTTTCAAGTGTCCCCCAGGTTAAGGCTCCACAGTTTCTGACTTGGATTTCAAGTCACACCCTCTTCTGGGAATTCTCTGCTCCCACTCTCACCTCCTACAGCCTGATGTTCTCTACACAGCTGTCAGAGTGATCTTTTTTTTTTAATATTTTTATTAGTTGTTGATGGATCTTTATTTATTTATTTTTATGCAGTGCTGAGAATTGAACATAGTGTCTCACACATGCTAGGCAAGTGTTCTATCACTGAGCCACAAACCCAGCCTCCAGAGTGAGCTTTTTACCAAAAAAAAAAAAAAAAATCTAATTATTTTTTCTCTCTTGCTTAAAGTATGAAATCCAAACTCTTATTCTTGGCTTCCCAGGCCCAGCATGGTCCTGCCTGTCACTCTTTAGCATTCTGGTCTCCTCTTTAGCCTTCAACCCTATTAAACTCAACCCCTCCTCCCCAGATCCTTGCCTGCTTTTATTTTCTGGCTATCAAGGTCTCAACTCACTTTGACACCTCTTCAGAGGCCTGTCTGACCACTCAAATCAAAGTGATCCCTCCTGGCTTTCTATCACTTTTTTTTTTTTTTTAACTGGGAACTGAACCTAAGGATGCTTAACCACTGAGCCACATACCCAGCCCCTTTATAAAAATTTATTTAGAGACAGGGTCTCACTAAGTTGCTTAGGACCTTGCTAAGTTGCTGAGGCTGGCTTTGAACTTGTGATCCCTCCTGCCTCAGCTTCCTGATTACAGGTGTGTGCCACTGCACCTGGCTCACATCTGTTTGAATTTCTCTCCAACATCTGTGGCCCTAAACTTATCTTCTTAATGAATGTTCATATTTATTGTCCATCTCCTCCACCAGAAAGTTAAACTCCACAAGGGCAAGGGC